AATATTAAATTCATTTTCACGATTATTTATAATTGYTTATTTTATTGTATATTATATTTATATTATTAACAAAAAAATAAAAATAAATAAATAAACAAAAAAAATGGTAAATTGTACTATAGGTGTTGTGTGGATCATTTTAATGAAGGTGTTAAATTGTATCATYGTATGCAAAAAAAAAACTATTCCGAACAAAGATGGTCTGTTGACCTATATTATAATAATATTTTAAAATTACAAAATAATARTTGAAATTGTCATTTTTAGTTTAAATATCAAATTTCATTCAAAATTGAATTTGAAATATCTATTTAAAAAACTATGTTCATATAATGTTATAAATAATATAATATAATATTTTTTTTTTTTTTTTGGTTACAGCATGAACTAGATATAATAATAGGTACTTATGAGAAACCTTACTTTAAATTTTAATTCTTATAGCTATACAAATTTTGAATTTTAAATTCTTAACAATATAAATTTCATATTTTATACACTCGATTATTTAGTCGACATTTTATTATTATTATTATTTTTATCATTTATATTTACATAGTTATGCAATAGGTAAATAAATTGGATGATATTTATTGGCGTGAAGAAGACGTCGACCATTGACGACACCCCATATGAAAGTATTTAGGGAGAAGTAGGTCTCTATACATCAGTTTCTTTTAAGGTGCCGGGCGGTGAATTAACCTGAAATTGCTTAGACAAGAAGTGAGTGATAATAGGATTTGAGGTGAGAACTGAAAGTTGTCTGCTTTTTTTTATAGGTGAACGTATTAAGATTATTGAAGATTGTAATGCAAATGTCTTTATGAAGCGAGTCACTGGTGATGTACCAGAGAGAACCTGATAATAATCGTAGATTATCGACAACATGTTATCAATGGCAAAATGTAACGAGTAGTTTAATGATATTGATCCAACAAAGTTAGCCGATAATTGGCAAAAATATTGGCCATGCAACTTGAAAAGATAATTATTACGTATTCTATATTATAATATATTATGGTATGTAGACATGTAGTCAGAACTCAGAATCGTGGTAGGGGTTTTATAATATTTGTGCGTATTTCAAATAAAATGCTTAAGAAATAGATCATTTTCGTCGTGATTAAGGAAACATGGATCTAAAAATTTAAATTTGTATATTTTGCAATTACTTAGATTATTCTGTATTAGATCTTAGCTATTCTGTATTTTTTKAAATATTTTTAAATTTGGGCCCATTTTTTATTTTTTTATCAAAACTTGTTATATTTTATGAAACTACATTTTAATATTCATAGTTTTTGGTTATGTTCTAATTTTAAAAGTAGATAATATACATTTGATAACGTAAAACTAAACCAACTACACACGGACTCGCTGAGTGGCGAGTGAGTATCATTAATATTAAATCTATTTTATCAATTGATTTAATAATCATTATTTCGTATTATTTGGTGCTGCATTCAAACTTTTGTTATATGCTATATCTGTTGACAATTTGCCCTTTTTTGTCATATTCGATTTTGATTATTGTCTAACCTTCGAGCGTATTATTGTATACACTTATTATTATTGTATTAAACTACACTAGTTTTGTTTTGGATCGAACATTTAGTTATTATTTGCAATTATCTATGTTATATAACTTTGTTTTAAAATTTCGATTTTTACTATTTTTTGTGGTTTTACTATACATATTTATTTGAATGCATATTTAGTGATATTTAAAGTAATATAGTATTATTATAGCACATATATTTATGCAATTTCAAGTGCTATAAAATCACTACTTTAGAAGTATACAAGATTTAACTGCAAGGCTGGGCAAGTTAATGATTTTTTTTAACTCAGTTAAGTTAAGTTAAATTAAAATCTAAATCAAGTTAATCGTTAAAAGTTAAT